AGATTTAAAGACAAGTGAAAGTAGATTTGGAAGTAAAATTTTTGACAACTAATGTAGGATTTGATTAATGTGACAAATTAAAAAATTTACTTTCAAATTCACTTTCACTTACCTCCAAATCCACTCAAATAAACAACAAAAAGATTTACCTTCAAATCCTCTCAAATACATTCAATCACTCTCCCACAAATCCATTCAAATGAACAAAGTGTTAATGATGAAAGTTTTTATTTACGTTGTATTGCATGCTTTTGGTTCTTTTTGAAAGAAAGATATTTGACCTTGTTTGAAGCTGGAAGAGGGTTTTGATCTCAGCATTAGCGACGAGCCACTATCTAGTCTCTCTTCTTCTGTCCCTCCTTTCCATGGCTTAGCTCAAGAGCAAGTGAATCTATTCGTCAAATCTTTGCGCATGGCGAACCCCACAACAAACCTTTCTGAGTAACAAATGGATTTAAGGATTTAAGAACATTGGAGATGAGGAGAGAAGAAAGTTCGGAAGAAAAATAAAGAGATTTGACCTTGGAGCTAGTGTCACGGTGCTGACTTATATTATATTATTTATTTAGGTTTAAACTCTCGGATTTTTCTCGTATTTGTTAGAAAATCTCAAGTGGGTCCTCGTTTTTGCAATTGTCTCAATTGGGTTCATATATTTGAAAAATTGGGTCAATTAAGTCTTGTACGTTAAGTTTTCATAAACAGCGTTAAAATTTCCTGATGTGGTGCACACTTAATCTGCTTATGTATACATCTTATATTACGTGAAATTTGTTATTAAATTTGTTATTAAGTCTTGTGTAAGTGTTATATGACGTGTTATGTTATATTATTTAATTGTTCAGATTACGGATTTCTTTGGATTAGGAGAGTTTTAATAAAATAGGGTTAGAGAAAAAGAATTATTGATTTGGTCAGTGTGAGAAGACGAATTGGAATCCTAGAGAGCATTCTCTTTAACTCCAATGAACCACTCATTTGCACTGAATATGACCCAAGCAGAGGAAGGACCATTGGATGACTGGGTTGGAAAGCTCAAAGTCAGAAGTTATGGCGCGTCGGGGACGGAAAGGACCCCTTCGCCAACGACGACGGTGATGGTTGTTGACAATGATGAGCGAAAACGATTGGTTCGTGGATGATGGTCGGATCTTTGCCAGCAACTGCAGGAAATGTTGTAAGTGGCACCCTGGTAGCACCATGAAAAATAAAACATTTAAGAATTTGAAATCTTTGAGAAAAATAAAAAGAGAAAAATGAATTGAATCGGAAAAATGAAGAATTGAATAAAAAAAATGAAGAAAAAAAAAAGATTGATACGATATGGAAATTAGGAAATGGAAAAGAGGGATTCTGAAATGGAAAAGGGAAAAAATGAATCTGAATTAGGAGACTAACTGCTCCCCCGCTTTCAGCCATACAAGTTCTGTTAACTCAAACAAAGAACTTGTGTCAAACACCAAATGACCCAGAATTGATTGTTTTACCTGTTTAGATTGACCATTTCAGCCACCGATACTGGTTCTTATCATGTGCCCGGTCTCAGCACCCACACCATCGATGACGTCAGGCTCACTATCTTGCAAAATATAAACCGGGGGCAATTGAAACCTACTGAAACCGAAACAACAAAAAGGGTAGGAAAAATAATTAAAATTTCGAGAGAAGGTGTTTTCAAAACTTGTGTTTGTATCCCGAGCACATTTGATATTGGTTAACAAAGAAGAGAATGGAACAAGAAAAAGATGAATTGCGAGATGATGCTTCTTGAATTAAAAAAATGAAAAAAAAAGATGAAAAAGGGTAAAAGTGTACAGACCCTATCTTCGTCGTGGTCTCTCAATCTCATCTTGAGCATCTCTCTGCCAAGCCAATCGACAAAACTGGAAGAAATGTTGAAGGCAACGTTAACGGCCCTGGAACTGCAGGTGTTGGGTGTTGCAGTGTGGAATGGATTGGAGCTGGTTTGATTTTTCTATTTTGCAGGTTTCAATGGAGGTGTTACGCGGTGGCTACCAAGGTTCTCATGGCTGGGTCAGGTTCCTGTGTTTGTCTTCTCTCGTGTGTTCGTCTACTGTGTTCACTGATCAAATCCCTAATTCCCTTTCTCTAACCCTATTTACTTAAAAAATTTCTAATCCTAAGAAATTTCTAACATTACTAATTCAATTTTATGCCACGTCAAAACTGTTAATTTAGTTAAGAAATTCTACGTAATATAACAATTTTACATCAGTAGATTAAGTGTGCACCATGTTAGCAAATTTTAACGCCGTTTATGAAAACTTAATGAAAAGTGCTTAATTGGTTCAATTTTTCAAATATTTATACCTAATTGAGGCAATTTTTAAAATATGTGGACTTAATTGAGACATTTGCAAATACAAGGACCTACTTGAGATTTCCCAACAAATATGAGGACGATTTGATGGTTTAAACCATTTATTTCTTAATTTTTATTTAATTTTAGTATTTTAAATAATTTTTCAAAACATATATAAATATAATTTTATATTATGTATAACATTAAGAACAATTTGATAATTATAATTTTTCATTTATTAAAACATTCTTTTAATTTATTATATTAATGAAATTTCTCATAAATTTTACAAATTTTACTTATAAATTTAATATCACTTTCAAATCTCTTAAAAAAAGTTAAATAGATATTTTAGTTCTCTTATTTGTTAGTTTAGTTCAATTTTGAGGTGTTCAAAGTGATTTCATTTTCTTTTAAATGATTTAATTTAGTTCTTTTTGCTGATCGAGTTTAAAACACTAACAACGTAATGTCCACTTTAGCGAAATAACCTATCTAGTTTTGTAATACACGACAACATCAGTCCAATTTGATGTGTCAATGTTAAAAGTTAAATGATTTATATAAAAGGAAATTACAATTGATTTCGAAGGGGATTTTCCATTAGGGTTAAATTGGCGTTGAAGAATCTAATGATTTTGGGGTTTTTTAGGTTTTCGTCTTTCCCTTTATATGATTCACTTTGTAGAAGACCTTTTCTTCTTCTCTTTGATGATGCAAAGCTTGGGGTTTTTGTTTCTTATTTTTTGGTCTTGCGACTTTGGGATTTTTTGTTTGCGAATTGGGTTTTTATTTGTTCTCTGTAGATTGGTGTTAATAATCTTGCGTTTTGGAATTTTTATGTTCTCCCTTATGGCTCGAGATTTGGGGGTTAGGGTTCTAATTTGGAATTTTTTAGAGTTTCTATTCTTCACGTTTGTGGTCTCTTGTTGGTTATTGGTGATGGTTGTGAGAGTCAGGACTATGGAAGTGTTGTTGGGTTGCGGCCATGGGGGGCTCGCAGTGGGTACCGACAATGTTGGACTTAGGCTGAGAAAGAATCCAAAGGTGGGAAAGATGAAAATGATTAAGGTTCTTGAAAGGAAATCAGACATTTAGGAAAAATTAATTAGGGTTTAATTGTAATGCATCCAATTAAGATTTAAAAATAATTAGGAATTAACACTTAACACTAGTTAACAGGATCCTAACCATTAATTATTTGTCACGTATTTTATAAACTAATAATTCATTCAATATTGACTAAGATGGAAATTATGCTAATTTTAACGTTGGTAGCAAAAATGATCAAATTAAACAATTTTTAGAAACTATGAAACCACTTTGAACCATTCAAAAGTATAAAGACCATTTTGAACAAAAATAACAAATAAAAAGACTAAAATATATATTAAACCTAAAAAAACAATACATACTTTATTATCAAATTCATTTATTCACTCTTTTTCAAATTTATCTTCAAAAGTAATCTTAAATATTGCTACAAAAGAAAAAAACTCAAAACTATGTTATGGATTAGCAAAGAATGTATAACTTAGTTATTAAAAGCACGAAGGATAAAAAATAAAGCTTATAACTTATCTAATTAACTAAACATTTATTATTTAATTGTTATTTGATATTTTGATTTAAAATTTATAGAGTTATAATTTCTTTTAACACTAGGTCCACTTACATTTTATGCACAATACTTAGTAAAGTTTGAAATATACTCTCTAGTTATAGAAAGCATTTTACATGCATGGGATTTATGAAAATGATTTATTTCAAAGTATCTTATTCCTATTATGTTTTTACTAAACAAAAAATTCTTGGGTTTTGCAGGTGGATTGAATGCAAAGTTCTGTGGATGGGTTCAGTACGCGAACAACCAAATGTATTTCGCTGGACATAGGTAACGTAAATCAATCTAAATCTATGCAACATGATCTTATGATTATAATGTTGTAGTTACAGGAACATCATGATATTTTAATTATTTTTTTAATAATATTTTAATAATAATTATGTATTACTATTTTATATTTGAAACGAATCGATTATAAATAATTTATAAATTATTATATAAATTATCGTAGTTTTGGGACGATCACAAAAGAGCCTCTAGAAGAGAATCCAGTGTTGCACCTCGTATGAAAGTTTGACCAGCTATTGTGTGATGATGCATTACGAGAAGTGTAGAATGAATTTTTGGAGGAGATCCTATATGCCGTATGGATTACGAGAAGTGCAGGAATTTTTGGAGCGGCAACATTACGAGTAAAGAAAGTTTATCAAGAATATATAAGTTAGTTATTAAAAGGATAAAGATACACTAATAATATTTTTTTTAATATTTTAATATTATTTACGTGTTATTTTATTATTGGTTTAAATTAATATTTATGATTATTATTATTAATTATAAAATAATTTTAGATGATATAAATAATGTTAAAATGTTATAAAAGAAATGTTGTAATATGTAACATACAATTGCTCTCTCTCTCTCAAAGGAAGATGTTGGAACAAGGTACAGCCAGAAAATAATGTTAAAATTTTAGACAAAATAACACAAAAATGACGTTGAAATGTTAAAATGTTATCATACAGTAGCGTTGCCATTATCAACTTAATTGTAATATGCAACATACAGTATCGTTCTATCGTTCTGTTTTCAAAGCCAAACCTTGGTTGGTGTCTCTCTCTCAAAGCAAGATGTTGGAACAAGGTACAGGCAGAACTTATCAAGAGGCATTTGAAGCCTCCAATTCCAGGATTCAAGGAGCAGATTCCAATTCCTTTGATGATGATGGCCGTTCCAAAAGAACTGGTAATCAAATATCCTCAAAAGTAGAAGTATTTGTGTTGGTTATTGGTATGTAGTCATTTCAAACTCACTGAGCTTCATAAAACAGGAAATTGGATGACTGCAAGTGCCCATATAATAACAGCTGTTATTGGGTTTAGAGTGCTGTCTCTGGCATGGGCATTTGCTCAGCTTGGTTGGATTGCTGGTGCCCATATAATATGCTTTTTCTAATTAGAATTGAAATTTTACATCAACAATCTGTATCATTCTAAATGTGAATATTATAAGTTAAAGTATAAACTAAAACAAGGGTTGTTATGAAACAGGACACAATCAAATCACCTCCTGAAGAGTCAAAGACAATGTCGAAGGCTACTTTAGTGAGTGTCTCGGTGATAAGCATTTTCTATCTGCTATGTGGTGGTTTTGGCTATGCAGCTTTTGGAGATTCAAGCCCTGAAAACCTGCTAACTGGTTTTGGCTTCTATAACCCATATTGGCTCGCCGACATAGCCAATGTTGCCATTGTTGTCCACCTTGTTGGTGCATACCAAGTTGACTGCCAACCCCTGTTCCTATTCATTGAAAACCTCGCAGAACAAAAATTCCCAGACAGTGATTTTATAAGGAAGGAGTTTGAAGTACCAATCCCTGGTTGCAAACCCTTCAAGCTCAAGGTTTTCAGGTTGGTTTGGAGGACATTTTTTGTGATCTGCTGCACTTTCATAGCAATGTTGCTACCATTCTTCACTGACATTATTGGACTTATTGGTGCCATTTCATATTGGCCCCTCACCGTGTATTTCCCAGTGGAGATGTATATAGTTCAAACTAGAATATCAAAATGGAGCACAAAATGGATATGCCTGCAGATGCTTAGTGCTACATGCTTCGTCTTGACAATGATAGCTGCAGTAGGTTCAACAGCTGGACTTCTTCATCATTTTAAAGTTTACAAGCCATTCATGACCCATTACTAGTTCACTGCCATTTCTCTGTTAACTGTTAGTCAAAAGGTTATGTCATTTAATAAAGCTCCAGACAGTTAGTTTGTAAGAGATAGTTGAGTTTTTTATTCTGTCTTTTCGATAGCCATTTATATCGTGGTTCTGTTGTAGTTTATTCTCTGTTTATTTTCTGTCATGTAAAACTTATATAAGTCAACCTTTAATAAAAGCATTCTCTCACAGATCTAGAGTTACTCATACCTTCATATTTAACATTAACATCATTGTTAGACATTACATGTTTTTTATTCATTTGTAAAGGTCTTTATTTACTTTATATATTTTAAAAGTTACACGTGTAAATTATGTCATTTATATTAATAAATTGTATGAAGGAAAAACAAATAGAATTTTAATCACGTATACAAAATTCACAAATTTACCATGGAGAATAAATTCGTAACTATTTACGTCCTTATTTTTGTCCAAATTGCAAGTACAAATTTGTAAAAGTGTGCACTTTTGTTTCTCACTCGCGTCACTATATTATATTTTATTTGTTTCATCCATAAATATTTTTGGGGGTGCTTAAGCCACGTTTGGGTACAATCTTTAATTTTCGTTACAAAAGAAGATTTTTTTACTGGTAAGCGATTACCAGCTTTTTGTAATCGATTACAACAACATCAGTTCTTTGTCAATGGTGCAGAAACTCACCTCTCAACCCAGAAACACCTTAACTTGGTCTTTCAATGATGACGAACAAATAACTGCAAAAATGGAGGACGAACAACACTGTTATGAAGAGAGAAGTTCAAACCAAATTCAAATCCCTAAAATGGAGAGAGAAAACACTGATAAGGAGGGAAGATAGAATTCGAAAAAGAAGACAGCAGTTTCGGAATCCAAACTTCAACCTATTCTAAATCAGATTTTAAATTAAAAAAAACATTCAAATTCCACCACTTAAAACTTGACACGTGGTGTTGTCAAATTTTTGTCAAATTAATATTGTTAGAATATCGGGATCTATTTCTAAACTGATCACATCCTTGGAATTTTTAAAATGAAAATTTTACTTTAAAAATGACTATTTTATGCTTTTTCTAATCAGAATTGAAATTTTACATCAACAAATGATTCTAAATGTGAATATTATAAGTTGAAGTATAAACAAAAAAACAGGAGTTATTATTATTTTATGAGTTAACTCGATAACTCGTTTTCGGTGAAAACTTGGTAGAATAGGAAGCAAAGTTAGTCAAATCTCCAAACTTAAGAATTTGTGGCTGGGTTGTTATGGCGACTTCAGAGAAGAAATTATTTTAAAGAGGTTGTCGTGTGCACGAAACTGAAAAAGGAAAACTGCCCCAAATAACTTGACGTTTCGCGGCGTGGCACCATTGTTTTTTCACCGTGTCGTCATTTGTTCCGGGATTTGTGAGTTTTCTTTTTCTGCTGCGGGAACAGACTGAAGACATTTTCTTCTTATTGTACAAAATCAGTAAGTAATTTTAGAGGAGAGAAGCTCCCTCCACCACCTCATATTCCCCCTACATCTCTCTAAATTTTTTTAAATTCCAAATTTATTCTTTTTACTTTTATTTTTACCAATTTTACTTTTTATATTTTAAAATCATAATCTTAATCTCCCCTCACTTTCACTTTCCCTTTTACTCTCACTCTCACTCTCACTCTCACTGCAAACCCCCATCCGTTGATGGTGCGTCGTTCGGTGGTGGTTCATGGTGATTCGTGGCATTTTGTGGCAGTTTGTGACCGTGGTGGTTCGTGGTAGTTCGTTCGTGGGTCTCCAACAGGATAGTGTTTGTTTCGTTATGCATGATAGATAATATATTCTTTGGTGTGTTATGTGTTGTCTTTGCTGTGATGTTATTGGTGTTGTTATTGTGTACATTGTATATGCCACAGTTTGAGTTTCTGGGGTGAACAGAGACTATGAAAGCTACAACGAAAGTAGGAATTTGTTTGACCTTCAATGGATAACGACATCCGCCGACGGATGTGGACTTTTGTTTAAGGCCAAACCGATATCCGACATTCGTTGTGCCTTTGGGTTGTTTACTTAATTTTTTATTTTTCTTTACTAGGTTCTGTGTTTAATTTTTAATTTTTAATTTTAGATTGAAGAAGAAGCCAACTTCTTTTAGGGAATAAATAATTTGGATAATAAATTATATATATTTTTACGTCCAGATCTGCCTGATGCAGTATCCATAACTTGTAGACTTGTTATTCTGCTGGATACTTTACAAAAGCATTGCAGAGTATTAAAAGCATGTTGCTTTTGTTTCTCTTTATAAAAACATGCAGCAATAATATGGGTTTTGTTTATTTTCCCTCAACCCGAGAGATTTTGGTCACATTGAATATGAAAATAATAATATTGAAGTTGGCATGCATATTCTTTTCTGTCATTTTCTCACACTACACCACCACACTTTCATCAAACAAAAATTAGAGGGAGAAGAAGATTGAGAGGAATTTCATTCAAGCAAAAGCAGTACCCTGTTGTGGAGATGCATTGATATATTGGTGGGAACCATTAATGAAAGTGGTTGATTGTTGAATAAAAATATAAAAGCAGAAATTAAATATTACTGAAGGGAAAAAAATGAACGAAGAGATACAGGTAGCAGTGATGGAGGGAGTAACAATTGCACTCAATTGCCAAAAACACAACCCACTCATATATGGTTCAAAATAGAACAGCCCAATGCCTCTTCTGCTGACCAATGGTCCAGTTGACCAGGTTTCAAGCACATTTGACCAAAGAGTATGTCATCTTACATCTTCAAAGATTTCATCCGACACCTCTAAATTTTTTAAAATACGTATTATGCTTCCAATTAAAATGTTATTAATTTTTAAATAACTGAAAAGAATTTTGACCAGATTCTTAACGGTTTTCTCTTCCTTTCACCCTCTTTTCTCGCATTTCTTTTTCTCTTTAGATTTCAACAATTACCAATATTTTTAAGATGGTCCAAATATTTATATTTGAGAAAAAAAAGTTAAGGTTTGATATTTTTTATTTATTTAAATATAACAAAACGTACAACTATATTTATAATTTAGTTACTGTTGAAATAATTAGAATGATTAAAGTTAAATAATTGAGGTACATTCTTATTTGAAGTGATATTTTATTGTTCAAAATTTAAGAAAATGAAAATTAAAAACTGAAACAAATTTCACATAAAAAAATAAAATAAAAATAAATTAATAAATATATACTTTAAAGTCATTTTGTTTGAAGTAGTTAATAATTCGAAAGACTTAATAAAACATTAAAATTTAATAAATATTCAATTAAAAATTTCGAAAACCATATTTAAGTCTTTATAATTAAACATGTAAACTTTATTTGCTCTTTTGATGCATTTAAAAAATCTACTTTTTCATTAAAATTGATTTCATTAATATTATCAATGTATG